ATATTGACAGTTGAAAATTGACTTTTTGCAACTTTAACAAGCTGTAAAACCTGAATGGTTAATTTTAGAGGAAAACCGATTTTACATTCATATCTTAGATTTTCATAAACTATCATTTGACACCAACTTTGAATTTAACCGGAGATTAAATTTAAATGGAATTTTTAATCATGGATTAAATTCAAAGTTGGTGTCAAATGATAGCTTATAAAAATCTGAGACAGGAATGTAAAATCGGTTTTCCTTTAGAATTAACCGTCCAGGTTTTACAGCCTGTCAGAGTTGCAAAAAGTCAATTTTCAACTGTCAATATTTCGAAAACAGTTGAACTTAGGAATAGGGTATATCACATGACTGCTCAGAATTATACGTACAATCCAAATATGCAATCACATGAAGGGTGTTCCATTTAAAATGGCGATGTTGCCATTGGTTTAGAGTAGAAGCGGCAACACCGCATAAACAAAAATATTTTTAAAGTGTAGATTATGGTCTTTTATCCCGGTTGCCAAATTTTCAAAATTATCCGCTTTTTAGTTTTCCATTAACGTCTAATACGTCATCCACCGTGGGACACCCTGTAGATTTTTTTTCGATTTCCTACAGTTTGCAATAAACAATAATCAATTTAATTTTTCATTCAGGTTCCCTATTGTATACCGAATTTCGTTTCCTCAACTCAAAAAAAAAATAATTTAACTGCATAAATTGGTGACTCCGACGACTGAAATGCCAAATACGGAATCAGAAAATTCTTCTTATAGTAATTCTGCGAATATTAATTTCAAGCTACCCGTATTTTGGCCGAATGACCCTCTCGTGTGGTTCACACAAATTGAAGCAATATTCGCTACAAGAAAATTAACCTCGGATAGAAGCAAATACAAATATCTTAGTTTCTTCGAACTCGCCGGAACTTGCAACTGAAGTACGTGATATTTTGCTAAATCCTCCTGGACAAAAAGCATACATTGAAGAAAGTAATCATTAAACAAACGACTTTATCCGATCAATCCAGAATTCGAAAACTTCTACGTATTGAAGAACTAGGTGAAGAAAAGCCGTCCCATTTCTCAGAAAAATACAACAACTTCTAGGCGAAAAAGCAACAACAACAGATAAATTATTTATAAAACAATTATTTCTCCAGAGATTACCCACCAATCTCAAAACTGTCGTTGCCGCAATGGATGATTCTTCCAGTTTGGAATTACATGCTGAAGTTGCAAATAGGTTATGGATGTAAATTCGGAAATGCTAAAATCATTAAAAATTTCTTCAAGAACTCATCAAACTAGATGTACATCAATTTTAAAATTTCAAAGTAGCAGATCGCTTTCACCGCCGCCATCACGTTACTGTCACTACCACCATTGTATCTACAACTCGTGTTTTGAAAAAAAAAGCTCAAAGATGCAATTCACCTTGCTCATGGTCGGAAAACTTAAGAACCGGCAACTAGTTGCGGCTGCTTTTGCTGGTAATTTAAAAACAGGTCGTTTATTATTTATTCGGGATGAATACTCAGGCATTAAATATTTGATCGATACAGGTAGTCAAGAAGTCAAGTAAGTGTATTACCGTTAAAATATTTAATAAATAAACAAAAACCTAATTTTTTATTGAAACCCGCAAATAATCATAATATAAATCAGTGGCGGCTCGTCGTATAAAGCAACTGAGGCCGGGCCTCACATGTAAAAATTACAATAATAAAGTAAAATTTTGAAATAATATTTATTAAATATTTAACTTTTTTCAACTATTTTCAATCATTAAAAGAATCAAAACATCGAATTTTCATTAAAATATAATACTATTTCTTGAATCTAGCGCGCGCTTCTACCTATTTATCCTTATAGGCGCTCAAATCGTTGCCGGACAGCATTAAAATAAAATAGCAATCCCAAAAATTTTGGCCTCATGTGCGTCACAGAACGCCGAAGCGATGCCACGCCACTCCCCACCACAACGCTTCAACTGTAGGTGAGACGATAGCGAATTTTTATAGGCATTGAGGCGCACAATTTTGGGCTTGTTAATAAGAAACCTTGCATCGCTTGCTGCTGCGACAAGTATTTAATTGGTTAATTGGCTCATATTTTTTATTTTGGTCTGTTGCGGGTTAAAAAACTGTTTTTTGGAATTTATTTTGTTAATTTGAAACTCAATATTTGTATTAAAATAAGAATTAGGTAGCTACTGCTGTTGTTTTGCAACTGTAAGAAATGAAAATTTTCATTAGAAATATACAAAAAAAAATATCCGAGATGTTCTTTTGATGAAATTTTGGGTCAAAATTTGGGCGTAACACTTGAAAATTTTGTTTGGGTTTGTTTGGGTTAACTTGATGGGCCATGGGCCTCACCAGTTTGGATTGTCACGAGCCGCCACTGATATAAATACTTATGGTTTTAGATCGATGACTTTGAATTTAGCTTTCAAAGTCCATTTAACTGGGGTTTTATCATAGCTGACGTGAAGTACCCAATAGTAGGTATAGATTTTTTGCAAAAATTTAAAATTTTAGTTGATATTTCAAGGTATTGTTTGGTGGATGAAAGAGGTTGTGTTAATATAGGTAATATTATTACCTATATTGATAGACACCTACCACTAAAACTAGTGTTATGTCAGTTTGATAGTAGTTATTGTTATTGTCAATATGTCAATTAATAATAATTGTAATATTAAACGTTTCTTTATAAACCTATATTATAAAATAAAACATCGCGCCGTCGCAATAGTATACCGACCAACAAAATTCCTGAGTGGAAATGTTGCTGAAACTTTTCGTAACTTTAATGATGAAGTACAGTTTTATTTTTTGCCTACTGAAACGAATGAAAAATCGAAGGAAGTTCAAGTCGCAAGATTAAAGAATTTGGTGGGATCAGAAGCTCTAAAGTTGTACAAATCTATTTCTCATCTGAAGCCAGAAGAAGAAAATGTTGAGAAGATCTTACGCGTTTTGGAAAATCATTGCTTACCAAAAGAAAATGAAATAATGAGTGTATACCAATTCTTAAATGAGAAGCAACAAGAAGGTGAGCCGTTTGAAAAATTTTATACTGACCTAAAATTTCTGATTAATTTATGTCATTTTGAAAGTCAGGAAAACAAATTATTGAAAGCACAAATTGTATTAGGAATTTTTTCAAAAAGTTTGAAGGAACATTTTTTACATGACTGTTCATTAAGAAAAATGATTGATGTATGCAAATCTATTGAATTAGCAGAAAAAAATATCAAAATTTTTTCTTCATGACATGTGTGTTGACAAGGTTACATATAAAACTGATAGATCAGTGATAAAAAAAATTACAACTCAACAAATTTAAATGTTCTCGATGTGGTTCTCAGCATGATTATGGTAATTGCCCAGCTTTTGGAAAAAAATGCTTCAATTGTTCACGTATTAATCATTTTTCTTCGGTATGTAAAACCTGGAAACCAAATGATGCAAGAAAAAATTGTAATGAAGTGAAAACACGAAATGAATCCCGAAATGATGTGGAAGTAAAAGGAAGTATGGAATATAGGTTTAGAGGTAAACATTCTGCCATTAAAATACATCAACTCAAGCAACTTGGTTTGCAAGATAATATTAAATTTTTTAATATAAATTTAATTGCCTACTGGGGGGTTCAAAATTAAATTATTAGCTAGTAAAATTGTTGTTCAAGTGGAAACAGATAAAAATATTAATATTTTAGAATTTGTTGTAGTTAAAGACGACTGTGTTCCGATATTAGGAGTAGTATAAGACGCGGGATACTGGAACACGTACCCCCTTGTCAACTACCCCTAACCCCAAGGGGCACTACCTACCACCCTAACCCCAAGGGGCACTACCTACCACCCTCACCAATCCTCCCCTCACCTTATTTTAAATGTTTATTTTTTTAACTTCCCTTTTTTTTTCACCTGTCAGTGTCACCTAAAATTTGTCACATCACGCACCTGTGTGATGAATTAAATGAAAAAAAATCTTGTGTGTCTGTGTGTGGAATCGAACCGTTGACCAGTCGGACCAAACCAAGAGCGTTAACCACGAGAACAACTCAACTCAACTCAACTCAACTCAAAATCTTTATTTCAATAATTACATTATAATACATTTCCAGGTAGGAGGGTTAGGCCCCCCTTACTAAGCTAAAAACATACAACATACTTAAATCTAGGACATGGAACTTAAACTAAAACTCAGTGGGGCGCAGCGGGCGCAGCCCACTGTGCGCACAGTCACGCCTAGCGTGCTGTTTGCGCTGTTTTACGTTGGTCGATGTTGTGGCCACCAAGCCCCTTATCCTATCCTTGCTTCTATGCCTCAACTCGGCGTTACCAGGTCGCCCTTAGAACCCAATAGACCTTGTTTGTAAGTATCAAAATGTTTGGTACCATGATCACAGACTTGTAAAATTTGAATGAAAAAAAGTCTTGTGTCTGTGTGTGGAATCGAACCGTTGACCAGTAGGACCAAACCAAGAGCGTTAACCACGAGACCACAATAGACCTTGTTTGTAAGTATCAAAATGTTTGGTACCATGATCACAGACTTGTAAAATTTGAAAGAAAAAAAGTCTTGTGTCAGTGTGTGGAATCGAACCGTTGACCAGTCGGACCACTGGCTCAAGAACCAAGAGCGTTAACCACGAGACCACAATAGACGTTGTTTGTAAGTATCAAAATGTTTGGTACTATGATCAGACTTGTAAAATTTGAAATGAAAAAAATTACTTTAAATTGAATAGGTAACTATTAGGCTGGCCTAACCTAATGTTGTTGTGCACATTGGTCTCGTTGAATTTTGTTTAAATTCTTATAGCCTAGACTAGCTTCGCCTAGCCCAGTTGATATTTTTGTTGTTTTATGTGGTAAGACATATTTGTAAAAATTAATACTTATAATAAACTCAAATTACATTTATGACCTAGGCATTTTCTCGTTGCAATACAGATTTGGAGGTGAAAAAGAGGATGACCATATTGTATGATGACTTATTGACTTTTTACAGAAACAAAAATACATTTCGCAGCTTTGGCACCACCTTGTAGAGAGAATACTACTTGAATAGTTTTTAAATCTTTTATTGGTATTTTGAACATCTTGTATTGATTGAAATAAGTCTTGTTGTAGTTAGTTTCATCTTGAATGCGACTCCAATATTTTCTTGTAGCCGCATCATAGTTTTCAGCCTTGGACATATCTTCATGCATTTTCATATGGCCCTCCTCATCCCATGGTTGGCTTTGATAATTGTAGAAGCATTTGTTGGCATGATATGTAACTATTGATTTTCTCATTTCTTCAAACTTTCTCTTGTTTGGAATATCGCAGCTGCTGTGTAACTAGAAAAGAAAAAATTGGAATTGAAAAAAATTAATAAACAAAACTGAAAGTTTTATACCACATGTGTTGTGTCAAAGTGATCTTTTCGGATTCGTATTAGTCTGCAGCGTCTATTATTGGCAACAGTAGGATATTTAAATCGAGCATAGTCTCTAAACACAGACTCCCAATTTTTTAGAAAATTGACAGGCTGAAATAATATGTAGAAAAAAATATGATAATTGTATTGATAGATTTAGGCATAACTTACGTGAGATTAATCCACAACCTCACATAAAAGAAAGTAGACCATTTTTTCAAAACACAAAAAGAAGAAGAAAGTTAATCATTGTAGCCCCACGGAATTGTATCAGTGTATACATAGTTAACAATTCGTTTGTCGTCGAAGGGACTGTTTTGCTGTGTGCTGTTTTGATTTGTTCCATTGTAAAGACTTCGTGTTTTTTCGATCTTATAAAATTTTGTGGAACCTCAACAATTTTGTTATGGAAAAGACTTTGATAATAATCATCGAATGAGTTTTAATGAAGATGCTGAACACCCTTGGCCTTTTTAACAACAATATCACGATTACCTGTAGAAGAAAAAGATGAAGCAGAAGACACCTTGCTATACAATACATTTTGGACCGCAAACCAATAAATTCGGTCATAATTTTTCCATTATTTTCATCCTTCATTAAACCGTAAAGTTTTTTATTTTTTTGTGGAATATTGTACACGTTATCATGAGCAAATTCTGACGTATCAAACATGTTGATATTTTCTCGAATGCAAGAATAGATGTCTACATCCGTAAATTGATAAATCAAACTATCAGTGTCGGTGTACAATAAATTTGCATTAGATTGAAATTTTTCCTTAATAAAATTGTAATGGAATTTATACAAAATAGTCAAAGTCAAAGTCAAAGTCAAAAATAGCTTTATTGTATAAACCTTTGTTGTTACAAAGCCTTGGTAAAAGAGAACAAAAAAAAAATAAAAATAGTAGTTAAATACAAGACATAAATAATAATAAATTAACAATGCAGGTTAAAATTAAAACACTAGTCAATAAAACTTAATCAATACAACATAAAGTTTAATAATAATACATAAAGAAGACCTACAATATACATGCATATAAATGGACAAAATCAATAAACTGCAAATATCCAGACAGAAAACACACTATACTATATATCAGTCAAGAACAGTCTCATAAAATTCAGCCAAAGTATAATATGCCCCAGGTGCTAATACCCTTTTTACTGCTCTCCTGAATTTTTTTAAGCAATTAATCCTCCTAACCTCTGTGGGCAGATGGTTAAAAAGTTTTCTGCCCTCATATAAAAAAGACCTTTTAACAAGTTGAGAGTGAGGTATTGGAAGATTCAATGAGAAAGGATGACGGGTCGGATATGGTCCAATGTGGTTAAGTTCATTCCTATATTTTTTAAAAATTAAAGTTACAGTCTCCAGGGTGAACAATGAGCAAAGGGTTAATATTCCACACTGGCCAAATAAACCACGGCAGGAGTCGTGAACTTTTGCAGCACAGAGATAACGAATTGCTCTCTTTTGCAGTAAAAATACTGAGGTAAATAAATATTGAGAGCACGCACCCCAAAACGCGATGCCGTAGCGAAGATGGGGTTCTATTATAGCATAGTACGAATTTCTGGCCATAGCGAAACCTAAAGTGTGCCTTATTACCTTAAGGGCATAACATCCAGAAGAAATTTTTTTACATACCTTAGATATATGTTCCTCAAACCTCAAGGAACTGTCAATGGTTAGGCCCAGAAATCGGTTAAATTCAAGAGTTGGGAGTGGTAAAGCATCCATAGAAATACCCTGAACAACACATTTAAAAGATAGGATGCTTGTTTTTGTTGCATTAAAACTTAGAAAATTAGAATCACACCAATTCTTAACTTCCAACAGATCGTGAGAAATGCTGCTGGTTAACGCTGCCAGATCTACACCATGCCACAAAATAGTTGTGTCATCAGCAAACATAGTAAAGGCCCCCTTTATAGGAACATGTGGCAGATCGTTGACATATAGTAAAAACAGTAAGGGGCCAAGAACAGAGCCCTGCGGAACACCAGCATTGATCTTCCCTTCCCGAGAATTTTCACCATTAAATGACACTGTTTGAACTCTATCACACAAATAGGACTCAAACCATCTCAAGGACTTGCCCCTAAATCCATACCTTTCCAGCTTCCTGAGTAGTATTCCGTGATTCACGCAATCGAATACCTTCGATAAATCACAGAAGACCGCCGCAGCAATATCGCTAACATTCATCCCCCTGTAAAGATGTTCGATAAAGTTGAAGATGGCATCCCCAGTGTCATTGCCGCGCTGAAATCCAAACTGATGCCCACTTAAGATGTTGTATTTATCCAAATATGACATTACGCGTGTCTTGATCAGTTTCTCGACAACCTTGGCCAATGTGGGAAGCAGAGCTATAGGACGATAGTCGGAAGGGTCATCAGCATTCCCACCTTTGTGCAGAGGTACAATCATTGCTCTCTTTAAGCATGCTGGAAAAATCCCTGTTAGAAATGAGTGGTTTATGGCATCCACCAAACTGTTCAACACCTTAATTGGAAGCGCTAACAGGATCCTCAGGGAGATCTTATCCCATCCAGAAGAGGTTTTGTTCCTGACTTCAGAAAAAACATCTTTTAGTTCCTGCAAACATACAGGTGCAAGAAAAAACGTGTTAGATACATTTATGTGAGATAGGTACTTCAATGGATCGCCAGCTTTTGGAACAGTATCAGCCAGATTGGCTGCTACGGAACAATAAAAGGAGTTAAGCTGATCTGCTTTCAATGTTTCCGAGACCCGAAGAACGTTCTTATTGCCTCTCAAGTCGCTTACGATTTTCCATGCCTCATTTGATTTGTTTGATGCCCTCTCAATCCTCTCATCAAAATAAGACCTTTTTGCAAGTTCCACAAGCTTTCTATATATTTTACGGTAATTATAGTAGTATTCAAGAAATTTATCATTATCCATTGAGTATTTGCGTATATAATGTAGCGCACGCATGTTCCTTCCAGAGACTTTAAGGCCCTTTGTATACCAAACTTTTTTCTTAGCCATTTTAATGGATATAATGGGGAAAGCACTATAGAAATTTGTACACAATACATTATGGAATTGCTCCAAAGGAATATCTGACTCAAGCAAAGTACCCCAGTCTGCTCGTTCACAAAGCGATTTGAATTTATTAAATTTTTTTCTGCTGTAGAGTCTACCTTTCTTTATAGAAGATCCACTCTTACACACATCAAGATCCACACAGCCCAGTACAGCTTCATGATCCGACAACCCGGCACTGGATACCATACAATGAACTTTATCCAGGCCAAAATTTGAGCAGAAATAGTCAATTATTGAGCTTGACAAAGAAGTAACTCTGGTTGCCTGATTTACATGCATACTTAAATTAAGAGTATTTAGAAGATTACATAAGGATTTCGTATGTCTGTCCAAATGCTTAGAAAAATCTATATTTAAATCTCCACATAAAATTAATCGAGAGTTTATAGGAATGGAATGGAAACAACAACAAGGGACTCTAGTCTATCCAAGAATTGCTCAATGTTTCCATGAGGAGATCTGTACAATGCTAATATATATAATGACAAGCTTCTGCTAAAAACTAACGAGAACTCAAAGGTTTTTTCCTCCAACAAGTTATCAAATTTATTTACTCTAACAAATTTGTATTTTTCCATAAAATAGTCACTGAGCATAACTAACGTTCCCCCATGTAAAAACTGTCGACGAGAAAATTTGGACAACAAACTATAATTTTCAATATTTAGGGGTTCATTCTCTTTGAGCCAATGTTCTACTAAAATTAAAATATTGGGAAAATCCACAGATTCCAGAAATATGTCTAGTTCATTCACCTTATTTCTGATAGATTGGATGTTTAGCAAAGCTAGGGACAAATTATACTTGGTTTCCCTTGGTATAAAAAAGATTTACTAGTACTACTCAAGGTGTCCAGACAATTTGTCTGTATTTCCGTGGTCACCAATTCCGAAGTCTCGTCTGCCACATCGTTTGAAGCCTTATATTCACAAACGTTAATATCCCTGTCTGAATTACAAGGAGAAATTCTGCATTCATCAGTAAACGGAACTACTTTTAAGACTATTTTTTGGCTAAGGAGTCTTGCATCAGTCTCCACATACACAGCAAGAAGTTTGGCCAAAGACCGGACCGAGTGCCTATATTTTACATTATTACACAAATTCGAAATAAATCTTATACTACAATTATTACTTCTAGCATATTTACCTACAGCTTCATTTATTTGATAAAATTTACCATGCGAATAACTCTTAAAATTACATTTCAGTACCATTATCAAGTTAGTTGTTTTACCCAGAGAAAGAATCTTTTTAACCTCACCAATGTTTGATGATGTAGAGTTTAAGTTTAAGCAAACAACAATTGTGTCTCTTTCGGTCAAAGCAAAAGACAACAAAAATACCCTCTCGATCAGCCTTTTGACATCAAGACCAGTATAAACATGACCCTTCAATATATGCGATGACTTCATTAACAAAGAACCATAAGAAGATAGGGATCTTGCACTAGAGTCACCGCAGATAATACATGTTTTGGGAGCAAAATTACAATCATTACTTTGATATGAGGCACTTTTCAACTCTTTATCTAGGGAAATGCAATCATCTATCACCTTATTGTCGTTTAATAAAACAAATGAGTCACCTGTGGCAGTAGATTTACACCATGTCACATCATCAAAGCATGTAACATCATCGAGGCATGTCACATCATCCTCTCTGGAGACACCTCCACCATTCTCTTGATTTTTGAGGATACTTCCAGAAGCACAAGAACCAGAAAGCCTTACCGCTTCAGGATGCTTTTCCAAACTATCACACCTAGATTTACTAGATTGGAGCTCTTCCTTCGCATGTAGTAGATTTACCTTGATGTTCTTCAGCTCCATTATATATGCTTCCCTGTCCTGTGTTAACACTTGAATGCTAGTTAACATATTCTTGTTGGTCTCTGTTAAATCTGCAAGATTCTGTTTAAGCTCCCTATCAGTCACTTTAAATTCCTCAAGCTGTGCAGTCAAATCCAAATTAGTGTCAATAAGTTCCGAAATATTTTGAGCAAGTTGAAGTATTTCTGCTTTCTGGTTATTTATTTCAGTATAAAGCTCCTGCTCTGCATCAATGGCGCTATTTTCAAAGTCCTGTGTCTTTCTGTTAAGCCTCTTAATATGAATAGCCTTTGCTTCATTGTCAGTAGTAAGTTTATTAATTTCAATTCGAAGCTCTTGTGTTATTTCAGAGCATTTGTTTTCCAGTGTTTCTAAGCTTTTATCCTTAATAGCAGATTCTTTCTTTGTTTTTTCATACTTCTCCAAAAGAATCCTATAATTAGGTAAATCCTTTATGTGATCATTCAATGATAATTTACAGTCGGGACAAAAAAACAACAAACTTCTCCGCGCTAATGAAACAGTATGAGCTTCTGTGGTTATTTCAGCACACAATTTGCAGATGGGTCGTTGACATAAGTCGCAAGGGGAGCCGAAAATTTCATCCTCCTTTGGGCGGCTCTTAAAAATGCAACTTTTTGAACAGGTTTCACATTTAAGGGATGTCATATTGAAACCCAGCAGGAAAACTTTGGACTTGGCAACAATGCTTCTCTGATGACCTTCAAAATCAGTAAAACCGGTTTGTTTACAGTTTAATTTTGGTCAAAAATGTGATGTTTTTCCTATGATTTCACTTTCAGCTTAAAACCAAGCTATGATCTTCCAGATTAGACACTTTTTACAATTACAAACATCAAAA